AGTGTTGTTAAATTATGTTAAATGTGAAACAAAAACGTATTCACCCATTGTCTTAAATAATAATCATTTAAAAACACTTTTATATCCTCTTATTTTAAAGTCAAAATAAGCTTGAAATTTTCTCTTTTTTTCACTTTTTGGCAAAACTTAAGCTTTTTTGTTGTCCTGGGTCATTTGTATTAACTTTTTAGTTCTCAGAATCTCAGAATTTTACATCTGAGTTTAGGAAGCTTTCAAATAGTAATTCCAGTAATTCAGTTTAAATATATTAGTTTTCTGAAATACTGGACAGATAACAGAGAAATCACTAGGACTGTGTGTTGGTTTGACAGTATTTTAAAACTGATTCTTCAGTTTCTTTCACGCAGTAATAATTTTCACTGACACAAACCTGTACAGTGTGACCTGTAGGTGTTTATGTTTGTGACTGGTTACGTTTAAAGTTATATATTTCTGTATTCCTTCACATCAGTGTGTGAGGATCTCTTTGTGAACATGTCATCACTCAGCTTTCTCATTTTCACTTCATTTAAGATCAAATCTTTGACTAGGTTTTAACTGTAGTCAGTTTAATTCCTGCAGCGTTTCTGCACATTCTAGTTCTGTCAAATATCTATCAATTCAAAAAACCCTTTTCCAGTAATAATTCATTACTGATTTGTGACTTTGTGATCTTTTTTTTGTTTGTTTGTTTTTCAGAGTCAAAGTGAAAGCTGCAGCCGATCATCAGCAGTCGTCAGGTGAGGGCGTTCAATCACAGAGCCACATATTGAACCACTTCCATTGACTCCCACTCCTCTATACCTATGATTTGAACAAAGTGAACAACGGTTGCCTAATGACCACTCGTACAGAGGCAACTTCGTGACATCTTAACCTTCCTGTTTCAGTCCAACGGCTGTGATTTTGGGGTTAAAACCTCTCGCTCTTTTCTTAAAAAACAAAACAACAAAACCAGCAGCTGAGAATGTCTCCATGACAATGATTTATGTTTTTTTTTTTCATCTGCCCAAATAATCTGTTTCAAGTCTGTGCCATTTTTTTTTTCCTGGCGTTATGAGCAAACTCCAATCTGTCCCACAGGTGTCTCTGCAGCAGATGTGAAGTTTCTCCTGATTGTTGAACCTAAAGCCAAAAGTTAAGTATTGACTATATATGTTTTCATGTATAAAGAGTGATACATTGTATTCTTTATAGAAATTAAATTTGTTTCTGCATAGAAATGTTAATATCTAACACCTGTTTTATTGGTCAACTCTTTTGAGGGTAAGACTTAAACAGTCGATGGCCTAAAATTAATTTGTAATTTTTTGAAATTGATTTTTGACATTGACACTTGACCAAACAGGCAGTTCAGTTTTTGTGGAGGTTGATAACGCTAACAGGACAAAGTCAACTAATCTAAGTTAGATTTTTTTTTTTTCAAGAAATGCTTTGTTAAAAATCCCGAGGTCTGTAAAAGTCAATGAGGAGCTAATAATTACGCCTGGAATGAAACCCTTAAATGCACCATCTGTGTGTGAGTTCAGGCGTAAAACAGGCCTGACAGATATATATTTTTATTTCTTACAAAGATTTGTCGTAGTATAACCTAAAGGTCGGCCCTCACTGGTGGAGCCTGGCTAGTCTTTCTACCAACATACCATAATAATACTATATACAGTGCAGAATGTACAAGTCTACAGAACTAACACGACACAACATCAGTAACAGAACAGTGCTTACAATATATCCTCCATTTTTCAAACACATTAAAAGCGTTTTTCGGACAAACGTTACCACCAAGAATAAACCTTCTCGGCCAATTTGTCTGAAATTATAACAATGTACTGTAGGCCCTGCAGAATAAATAAACAAGTTGCGCTTATAGGCTAATTCAAAAAGTGCCTTCATGTTTCTTTGTTTTTTTGTTTTTTGTTTTTTTTTACATATTAATCTGTATTAGGACTTAACAGTTTGTGTTGGTTGAGTCCATTTTAATCCAACATCCACAAAGAGGCTGGTCTGTGAGGAAGAGGATGAAAAAGACTAAATAGATTTTTGTTTTTTTTGAGTTCTGACTTTTACTCAGAATTCTGTTAAGATAAAATAAGAAATTTGACTTTTTCAACAGTGGTTGAAGTTTTTTTCCTCCCCTAAATTGTAACATCTGAGACATGTTGTCATGACAACAGTTCAGGTTACAGTTTGATTTGTCTATGTCTATACAAATGAAAATTCAATTCTAAGGGGAAAAAATATGTGGAATAAAACAATAGAATTGTATTTTTAAATGTCGTTCCAAAATTATGATGAGAATTTTGACTTTTTCTGAAAAATTAAAACTAGAGCTGCGAATTCTTAGATTTAAGATTTACTTTTTTTAAAAAAGACGTTTATATTGACATTTTAAATATTTCGTTATTTTCGTTATTAGCATTTTTCCTTACAGTGAAAGGAATTAGTCGACAATCTGACAAACATTACATTTTTTTTTCCTTTTGGTGAATCTGACGTTAATGACCTCCGTGTTTTAATTTGAACTAAGAAATCACTTTTGGCCATAACTATTAAAACTGTTTTTTAAAAACATATTTGATAACCTATTTGTAAAAATTGAGACGTTACCTCTTCCAATTTAGTTTTTTCTTATTTTACATTTGAAACGTTTTACAGAAAACGAAGAGATTCCAATTAAAAATCCGAACTCTGAAAAAGACAAATCCATCTTGTCCTAATCCTCAGCCCCTAAAATTGTCACACACAAAAAACGCAATAAAAAGAAACGTAAAAAAAAAAAAATAGTGTGCATTTTAAAACATGGGCCTACTTGATGAAGAAGAAGAATACACATGGAAGAGAAGAATAAGGGTGTGAAGAGGCGGCAGGGCTGTAGTCATCCGCTCTGCAGGACTAAGTACCAAACAGCAGTCCAGTCTTTGGTGATGATGACGATGAAGAGGAAGATGATGATGATGATGATGATGGCGAGGGGAAAATAAAAATTAAACAAAACAAAAGTTTGTATTATTATATATTATTATTAGGTGATGGTGATGGAGGTGATGATGGGCCTGCGCGAAGAGGAAGATTGACCAGGACGGACGCAGACAGACGGACGGACGGACGGACAGTCAGTCCGGGGTTCGTGTCTCCGTCCAGGCCGCGGGCTTTTTTCGGCTCTGCTCAGTCTCTCAGTGGTTTTTTATTTTTATTTATTTACTTCTGTCTGTTCTTCACTCAGGGTTGAGTGAAGGCTGCCGCCGCCGCTGCTGCTGCTGCTGAAACCGAGCCCCTGTGCTCTGCTGTGTTCTGCTGTTGAGACGCGTCACATGACGCAGGGCTTGATGTCCTGGTAGGCGACCTGCTGGTGGTGGTGGTGGTAGTAGGAGCCGCTGCTTGGAGAGTGCATGGCCGAGGAGGTCATGGCGTTGAAGGAGAAGACGAACTCCTTCCTGTCGCACATGCTGGGAGACTGGGAATGGTACCGAGGAATTCCTGCACATCGGTACGAAAACACACACACAAACACAAACACACACACACTGATTTAACACCAAAACCGTTTGTACTTTGGCAGGAAATCAGTTAAAACCTCACGGCCGCTCCATCAATATATAATGTAATAAAACATGATATGATTCAGAACGTTAGGAAAAAACGACTTCATGATATTGAACTAATTATTAATTAATAGAGTCTCATTATATATAAATATATGGAATATTAGGATTCTTTACTACAATGTAATGCGTCAGTTTTACAAAATATAATAAATATATTTATATATACATGTATAAATGGCTGCCTAATATGACGTATCCTTTTAATACCTGATAATTATTATTTACTGTTATATAAGTGTGGAATTCTGTGTGAAAACATTCTCCCATATTTACAGTTAAATTATTCATTACAACACACTGTTTTACAGTTACTGACCTCGACAACAAATACAATCGATATTTTTCAACAGTGTTCAGAGATTTGGTTTAGTTTCTTTTGCATTTACTTTTTTTTAAAAAATATTTTATTTTTTGCAGAGATTTGGTTTAGTTTCTTTTGCATAAACCCTGATTTGGTTTAGTTTCTTTTGCATTTACCTTTTTTTTAAAAAATATTTTATTTTAACTTCCAATACAACGTTAATGCTTTAATATCTTTAAATTTTTTTCAGTTTAGTTTAGCGAAAGCTTTTTGGAAGAAATTCGAAGATATTTTAATACATGTAACAAATTGTTTTCCCTTCTATTTGATTTTTTTTGACATAAAACAAATATAAAGGTGTAATAAACGAATTTAAAGTTGTAAACATGTATGGATGTATTTGACAGCAATATATAATAAAATACCAATTAACGTTTTCTATAAGACAATTCTAAAATGTACGACTGTGTGTATTTTACTGATAGAAATATTTCGTTGAACAAGTACATTTTGAGAATAAAAACATATGTTTTACAATATGTATTTAATATTTCTATGAAAAGCCGGTTCATATATATATTAGTAAAATAAAATGTAAGTTTAAACTTTCCCAAAAACGTTTAATGTATTCGTTCAACTGCCACAAATGATCATTTTAACCAATACTTTTATGCATTAATACAATAAATTTGAGTCGATGGCACTAAAAAAAACTTTAATTTAATTCCTGGTCATGAAAAAAAACCGTCTGTACGATCCACAGTTCCATCTTTTTTATCTTCGATCTAATCTCTCTAATGTTTCCCCCCTTTTTTTCAACATTATCTTAAAACACAACTATTAAAGAGACTGTGTTCGTTAAAGACTTGACTCTGAGCTGGAGCTTCTATTTACAGCTAATCGACGTTGGCCCCTCATGCACGCCAGTCCCGGAGGAGACTGACCTCAGCGGGGCCTGGGGGCAGTGATGAAGACAGGCTGGACTCAACCGCGCTTGTTTTCCTTTGCCTGGAGATTGGCACGACTTTAAACTGTCCCGGCAGACCCCAACTGCCCCCAACTGCCCCTCACTGCCCCTCACTGCCCCTCACTGCCCCAGTGCATTCCCCTTCCCAGAAATGAACCCTGTTGAGTTTTAAACACCAACTTTTCTATTTCGATAAAAGCAAGATAATTGTATTCATCACCATCAGTTTGGTTGCACGTTTTCTCCGTGATACATCGTCCTCTCGTGTGCAGTGACAGGATTTGAATTTTTCCAAATTAAACACGGTCCAGTTCCAGTCTCACTATTTCCATTACGCGTAATTTGGCACCAGATCTACAAACCTGCAGAGCACCAGGCCCGTTGGTCCACGATATTAGTCTTTTTTTAAAATATATATATATTTAAAAAACGATTTCATTATCTCTAGAGTGTGTCTTTACTTAGAAAGAAAAATGATTGTTTTTTTTTACACGTACCTTGTAAATCTGTGGCGCTGTGGCCGTTCTGGTGCAGGTACGGCTGCTCCAGGGAATGTGTGGGCAAACTGGGCTGTAGCGGGTTCGTCCCCGGGTTGCACGGAGACAGAGGCTGTTGTTTAATGTAAGAAGCCCCGTTATTCAAGGAGGCCGTGGGCGCAGGAGCCCAGGCCGAGGCCGAGCTGGAGTAGACCGGGTGAGGCTCCATGACTCCCCCGCTGGTGAGCAGAGGGGAGGCGGAATTGTCGTGGTGGGGATAGTCGTTCCCGGCAGATCCCGTACAACTCCCCATGTAGGAATGTCCACTGTTGGCCGACAAGTGTGACATGGAGTGTCCGGACAGAGCCATCCCGTCCATGTTCCCTGCCAAGTGTCCATTCATCATTCCAATCCCAGTGTCCAGAGGCAGGCTGTTGGGCGGACAGGACAGGCCCCCGCCGCTGCCCTGGAAGTTGTACGACTCGGGGATGTGGTTGAATCCCAGGCCGTTCATCATGCTGTACATGGGCTTCAGCGCCTGACACTTGCGCCTGAAACCCCGCGGTCTCCTTCTGAAGGAGCCTTCCTCGAACATAAACTCGCTGGCAGGGTCGATAGTCCAGTAGTGGCCCTTGCCGGGCCGACCCAGGCCCTTGGGTAACTTGATGAAGCACTCGTTCAGGGACAAGTTGTGACGCACGGAGTTCTTCCATCCCTGGTAGGAGCCTCTGAAGAAGGGGAAGCGGCTCTGCAGGAACTGGTAGATTTCGCTGAGCGTCAGCCGCTTGGTCGGCGAGCTCTGGATGGCCATGACGATCAGGGCGATGTAGGAGTACGGAGGCTTCTCCGGTCGACGGATGCCCGCGTTGGTCTTCTTTGTCTTAGTGGTGGAGGAGGCGGTTTCCATCACCGCCGTCTGTCCGTGCGGCTTCTCCGGAGCAGACATGGGGCTGCTCTGAGCAGGAGTGTGCGCTGGAGGCTGCTGGATCTCTGCCGTCATAGGTAACAAAAAAAACTACTTCTACTCGGTGTTGAACAAAAAATAGGCTCCTTTCCACTCGTGGAAACTACAGACTGTGACACTTGAACGGTGGCATAAAGAGTAAACGCAGTAGTAAATTCGAAACTGACGCAGATAAAGTCACAGATATTCTCTGTCCACAGTCCTGGGACAGTGCTGGAGCCACACCGCCGCGTCCGAGAGTGGGACGAGGAGCAGAAACAGGAGCCGCGCTTTCCACTTCACTTGGTGTGTTGTCGTGCGTCCGAGGAGCTCACTTTTTACTTATCTGTTGCCATCAGAGCATTGGAAGCTGGATGTCTTGGCCATCCTAATGTTGGGGCCCGCCCAGATCCCTCCTACTCCAGTGGTGGGCTGTAAGTGTGCACATCTGTGCGCCTTCACTTTTCAGGGGGGAAAAGTTTTTTTTCTTCTTCTTCCTTGTTAGCACTTTTCAGGGGGGAAAAGTTTTTTTTTCTTCTTCCTTGTACATTTAAATACAGAAGGTAAAGATCCAGTGTTGGGATTTGTGCAGAATATGATATAAAATGTAGATCAAGGTTTGATTTTTAATAATTTAACCACTAATTAAGTACTTTATAGCCACTCCTTGTCCAAGACTCAGAAAATCTAACATTTTACGACAAAACTCTATAAGTATTTAGTATTTTTTTTTTTATTTTGAATTTTTTTTTAAACTCTAACCCTGCACCCTAAGTGTCGAATCCCGCACGTCTCCTGCTCAGTAGGCCACATGTCTGCTACATCCACTATAGGTCAAGTTTCCAACTGCCCCGAAACGCTCTGAAATATTTCATTAAACATTTTTGTTGCGAACAAATCATTTGTCTTACAGCAAAATAAACCGTCACATTTTTAAAAACCACCACCTCTTGATTCGGGTAAAAAAAAAAAAAGAAGAAGAAGAAGATAGACAGGAACATGGGCAGGATGTTTATACTGCAAAACGTAAACATTTTCCCCCCTGGCCTTCTTTATTTAAAAAAAAAAATCAAGCAAAAGCCAGAGTTAGATCCACTAATAGTCAATGTGATGCGATATGTGCTCACTGCAGCGGCCGAATGGCCCAGATACGGGACGGTTTTAACACAGGAGAATATTGTTTGTGTAACGCAGTCATAATATTTACGCATGGGGACGCAGGAGGGGAGTGCACAGCAGCGCAGCGCCGAAGTGTGAGCACAGAGACTCGGACTGAGAATTAGGATCAACTTCTGCGCCTCCCGTTTCCCCCTCGCCCCAAGGATCCGGAGGAATCAAAGTAAGTGAATTTAATATTTTACCCTCAGACTTTCACCCAGGGAGTCTCAACCCGTTTGGACATGTGTGGGACAATGGAAAATCAGACGGCTTCCATTTGGCATAATTAGAAAAAAAATGAGTCTCATATCATGCCCAAAGCTTCAGTTTGTGTTTTTCTTCTTCTTCTTCTTCTTCTTCTTTTTTACTAAATTATATTCTACGCAGAAGTTCATGCGCCTTTTTGTGTTGTGTCTCCAAAGGAGGAACGTTTGCTTCACTTGCTGCTTTTTTTCTGTTTTTTTTTTCTCTTCTTCTCCCCCTGTAGCTTCTGTGCGTCCCGGCAGCTACTGAAAGACGATCAGTCCATAACCTTACACTGTTGACAGTACGTTGCTTATTGTTCCCTGGAGAGCCTCGATATAGCTGCAGCCCTGCACACCGTGTGCCTCAGCGCGTAGTCAGGAGCTTTACATGTCTCTCTGTAGTCTCTCGTTTAGCAGTGATATTCTATGTTATACGTTACTGGGTGACATACAATAGAGGGTGAAGCGCGGCGGTGGTGGTGGTGGTGGTGGTGGTGGTGGGGCAGTTTTTTTTTTCTCCTGCGTAAAAGCAGAGGAACGTTTGGCGACCTTCATCTCCGTGCGTAAAAAAAAAAAAACTCCTAAGTGTTTCCTCCACTTTTATGGAAACATACTGGAATGAGACTCCGGTATGTAAAAAAAAAATGGTGTCACTCTGGTTTATATCAACTGCCTGTTCCAACTCACAAATCGATACCATGTCGTTTTTGTTTTTTTTGCCGTAGGGGGAAGCGAGAAAACGATTAATTACCGAATTGTCTTGGTCGCGGCGAAGGTGACAGCCGAGCCACTGTTAGCTCTCGCTGTTCCAGAGGAGATTTAAAGCCCCCTTTGGATAAATGAATGTGAGTATTGTTTTAACCGGTGCCTGCTGGGCCACTCGGCTGCAGTGCAGGGACACACATTTATCAGAGTACGAGGGACCACCCAGCGCGCACCAGGCGCGCTCCCGTCCTCCCTCTGCCCACTGCGTTTCATTACACTGCTGATGACTTCATTCCATTAAGGTTCTACCTCTCTCTCTCTCTCTCTCTCTCTCTTTTTTTTTTCTCGGAGCTCTTCGTACGTCGTTTGCCCCATGTCACTTTGTTGTTTGTAGACTCAGGTATATATTTTTTTGTTTTATTGGCCCAATCCCTTCTAATCCTCATCCGGTGTGTGACGCACGGTAACGGCCGAGAGATGGACGTGATGCGCCGCTCGGTCCTCGAGATTGAAACATCCAAACGACAAGTTTTTCTGCTTGTTGTTTTGAAACTCGATCAAAATTACTTACAATAATAACCTGAAATAATAATAATTGAAATGATGACAATTTATCATATACTTATCTTTAATTTAATCCTTTTGTTCTGTAATGCAGCTATATGTGTACAACGTAACGGAAGATTTCAGCAAATTTTTTGCTTTTTTTATTTAAAAAAAAAGCATTTTGTCAGATAACATAAGGAGAAATTAGAATCCCGACGTCACTCGGAAAACTTAAACAAAGAAAAACATTTTTCCATTTTTTACGACTTAAATCAGTGCCAGTTAAACACATAATTGTTATTGTTTGCTCAGTTAGCACAACGGATGCTAACAAAAATATAGCAAAAGTAGCCAGACGATACAGAGATTAGCGATAAGATACGTAGTAGAAAATAATAATAATAATATTGATAAAAGGTTAATTGTATATGGAGTTAGTAACAATGTGGTTAAACCAGCTAAAAAACAAACAAACAAGTGCAGTTTACTCTTAGGCTAGTTATTATATTACAAATATCAATTACTCATGCTAGCCTAAATACAGCCATATATATTAGCATGTGAGTCAAAATAGAACAAAAATAACCAGAGGACAGACAAAATGTTGAAACAACTAAAGTCAAACTATGTAAAAAACAAAACAAAACACACAACTCTGAAGATGTTAGTCCAGAGCTTTAGCCCCTTGTTAGCCAAACGTTTGCCCAGAAATAATACATTTTAGCCAAGAAATTGTAAATAAAAATAAAAACAAAAAATAATCAAACATTAGCATTGAAATAGCCAAGGAGATGAAAAGTAATTCCGTCTAGAATTAACTAACAGCAGAATAATTAATTTAATATCTCTAAAATATACATAACAGGAAACCATATTAATAACGCAGCATAATATGTTGTTGTTGGGGTTTTTTATATATATGTATTAATTGTGTTTGTCTACTCTAATGACAATTGAGAAAAACAGTTGACGTGCCAGGGCTGGCCCTCCAGCCATACTTTGAACATGGACGACATAGAGCAGAACGTACACAGTCTTGGTTGTATCTCATGTGTGTTTCATATATATATATATATATTTATATACAGTATGTCGATTAAGGGCCTATCTGAACACGAGTGTGTGTGTGATTAGAAAACGAGTGTCACCTCTTTGTTCGTCAGGACTGAGGTTCGAGTCCCGGGGTCAGAACCTCCCTCCACTGTGTGCGTCTCCGACGCAGTGCAACACTTTTCCATGACGTCCCTCAGTGAAATATTTGACAGCGCTGCGTCCTCTGGAATGCTCCTCCACTTAGGTGGAGGTGGAGGTGGAGGCGGTGCAGTGATCTGTGTGCTCAGTCCTGACAGTCTTTCCGGACCCATGCGGTTCTTAATTCGCGCGCACAGAAAACAGAACGTGGCCCAGAAAGACTTATTCACAGATTTACACCGACTTAACGGAGGAAACGGAGAATTTGAGGCCGGAACTCGGGACTGGAGGCCCGTGAACCTGTGTGTAGGAGTCACGTCACTGCAGGACGTCATAGGATGTTGTTGATATCACAGTCAGTGTGATGTGGCCGCGTCATCACAGCAGTGGTTAACTCACAATAACAGCCTATTATGGACAGTAAGAGCGGACGGATCACAGACTATTGATTATTGATTATTGATTATTGATTATAGACCGTAGATCCATCAGTTGAAGCGTTAAGCAGCCTTCACTCGATTTGGAGGGTTCACGAGCCTCCAAGTGTTTTTGAAGGGTCATATATATATTTTACATTTTCTTTACATTTTTTTTCAAACGAAATAGAGAGAGAGGGGCCACAGGAGGTCACCCAGAGGTCACAGGGACTCTGTTTGTAGAAGAAAGCGTCACAGCCATCAATCAGCTGACCAAACCTTGAACTTGAATTTATTTACATGTTTGTTTTAACAGGAATTAGTTATCCTTCAACTGAAGTCTGTCTACCTTTTTACTTTTTACCAATCTTTATTTATTATATGTAAGTGTATATGTTGTGATACTTATATGTGGTTATATATGTTTAACAATATGTGTTTTTTTCTTACTTTTACTTTCAAATCTAGTAAAATGTGTTTAGTCAGATAATTCGTTTTTAGTTAATGTTAGATAATTGCCTTCGAACTTGCAGTAATTTGTTGTAGTAGTAACAATGATAATAATATCATATATTAATTAATATATTGGATTTAAATGATTATGACTTTTTTGATTTTCCTATTGGTTTGTTATAATTGGCCTTCATCACATTTTTGGCTAACTTTTAGCTATATTTGTGTACATGCTAGTTTTTAGCTGCTTACGGTGATAACATGAAACTGTCATTCAGAGTAAAAAACAAACCCTGCTGATTTATTTTAACAACGTTAAAAAACTCGAAGGATTTATGTAGTAAAATACACGTTTTTAATAATTAATGAATACGTTCAGTTTATTGAGGTCGCTATTATTAACTGCCTAAAAATATCACTAATAAATCACTAAAAAAAGATTAAATATATTCTAAGGTGTATTCTATAGAAATATTCATTTAAATCCAAAAATAGATCCTAAATACAGGACCGTATTTTAAATTGTAGAGAAAAGGAAAGAGACGCATTGAATTTTTAGATTTGACAAAAAAGTGATTGAAGTAATGAAACAAAATTATAAGCAGCAGAAAAATAACAATAAATCACTACATTCTAATAAATACATACACTATTTATGGACAGAATAAAAGAAACGAGTTAGAATCAAAGCAGAAAAAACTACGTGTTAGCCACAAGATAACTAGAAGTTGGTGCGGGAAGAAAATCCTCTCAATTATCTAAAAAAATA